AGTTCTTTTGCAACAGTTTTGTGTCTAATCTAAGTGTCGTCGCTCTCTAGCCTTGGTTCGCCCAATCTCAAGTTTTCGCTCCTAGTCATCCGTTGACGTCGTTGGGTACCCCGAAGCAAACGCTTGTTCCATCGCTATCTTTCGCAGTATTTCAACCGTCACAAAGACACCACCGAGGCTCGTGGGAGTACTAAAGAAGAATTCATGAAGGTTGATCGCTCGTTGGCCTGAAGTGGTTCCGTTGCTATCGGCCGAATCGCAGGTTTATTCGAGGGCGGAGATCTACTTTGTGATCAGTGTCATCGATATGGCATGTAGATGAGGCATTTTATGCTACGGGTGATTGCCAAGTTCTCCTGTACGTCCTGCGGACTAACCGTCACTTTTTTTCTCTAGTCTCGACGTCCGGAATTAGAAGCACACATATTGTCTATCACTACCCATGACCGACCTCGGTATCCGAGAACATTTCGCGTTTGATGGATCCAGCGACTCGGACTTGTCGCCTTGACAGACAGGAGGAGTTGCACAGACGATCTCCACGAGCTCGACATATTCGTTGATTCTAACCTCTGCTGGTGAGGGCAGTTATTTACTGCCTCTGTTGCATCTATTTACTTCCGTTCTGAGCAGGCCCATAGTCACGGATACGGCGTTGTTTTAGATGGTGTACGACCACAGCCTCTGATTGAGGTGCATTGTTCATATTTGGTCCACCTCCTACGCTCGAAGCTCAGGCCACGCAAAATTTCTCCTGCTTGCACTTCAGAAAACATGGATCCTAGCCAGACCACAAGAGCCCACCAATGGCCGTGGTACGATAATCAATGAATGAGCCCACGACATTGTGCGATCGCCCACTCGTGATACCATCAGTCGACAAGTGAGTCGTCTATCACCTCTGATACTCGCTCTACCACTACTGGGACGTCGTCGTCAACAACACCACCGCACCGACTACTAGTGCGAGTACATCCCTGGCACCTGCTTCAATGACGCCTTCACTAGTACCTGATACAAACAACACCATATCAACTGGTGCCAGTGTCGCCGAAATATCTATCGGTGAGACATTGGCGCTGGTTTTGGTGCTGTTGTTTTTGCTCTTTTGTTCACGGCGGCGACAGGTCTCCTGTGAGTATATCAACCCCGTTCATCATCACGTATGTCTCGCTTACCTGCCTCCTCGACCGGTGTAGATCCTTCTACCATTCCGAGATCAAGTGGAAGGATCACTGGGATTCGTCCTTTTCTTCTCTGGTACAACGAATCGTCAAGCTCGAGCGCCATGACGGGAATCCGACGGCTAGTAATAAACGACATCCATCGCTCAGCGGTCGTTCGCATAGATTTTCTGGTGGAGAGAAAACATATCAATCGAACGAATCTCCTCCGTCGTATGCTGCGTAGCCCGAAGCTGGAGTTCTCTGGGCCGCTTTAGATTTGGGATCTGGCAAGATTCGTTCCAGCTTTTCCTTGATGTCGCGGGCGCAGGCTAACGTCTCTGCTCCAGCTCTCGTATAAGATTGTGCATACTATGTACTGTGTGCAAACACACATCTTGGTACCTCTAGTCAAGCCTTCAATGTCACCGACACTTGTTTTGTAGATGTTATCTTCCCGCGGGATGGGTCAAGCGAAATCAGGAGTCCAACACTCGAGCCTCAACAAACAAACCTTGTGTGGTCACCCTGCCTCAACTCCGAAAGATCACTAGCAGGAAGTCGGCGACGGGAGTGTCGGTCAGAGGCTCAGTCTCGGCTTAGGTCGTGGTCATCAATGAAAGCCTCCGGTTGTCGCTTCTCCGGCGAGTGCGTTCTGAAAGAGAGGGTAATCGAGCTCATGAACCTTATTTTTCGAACTGTAGTTCCTTGCTTCGAATACTAGGTATGACTACCTCAAATAATTGCGCCTTATATGAGGTTCTAACTCATCTCGCCCGGTTGTGAGATGCTAGCTGACATCTTCGCCGCCATCGCACATAGCTACTTGGATGCACGACGATGTCGGCCATCCAGTGAAAGATAAAGGTGTATATCTCCACCAGAGTCTGAGACTCGGTCGTTCGACTCCCACACAACTTCTGCACACTACAGAATGATTGCTCGGATCGACGAGCGTGACCCACAGCTTGTTTTCACGCCAAATGAGGCTTGGTTCACTGGAGGATCGGTGTTTGATTATATGAAAACAACGATGGGAACGAGAACCGGGGGCGCACGACTAGGTTTCAATTTCACGGGTATGTGCGACTCTACTCACCCTTGCTTGTGTTGATAAATTTTGGCGCTGTGACTTTAGGTACAGGTGTCGAGGTGTTTGGTACAATATCTCACAATCTCTCCAGCTCTACCGTTTCGAACATTTTTACCGTTGATGGTGGAGCCTCGGTGCAATGGTCACAGAAACCTCAATTACTCCCGTCGTACAACGTTTCAATGTTCAGTGTACAAGGATTGGAGGGCGGGGTGCATAAGCTCATCATGGAGATTTTGGTGGAAGACAGCGAAACTTGGGTAGACTATCTCGTAGTCAATGCTTCCACCGAAAGCTCTTTTAACTTGCCTCCAAACACCCGCACGCCCTTCACGCCTGGCAGCAATACCAGTGATTCCTCTCGGACCATGACAAGTTCGGCCAGCTTGCCTCCGGGACCACCCACGTCCTCCACGCAGAGAAGTATAATACATATATCATCCGGTTTCAGTGTACCCGTTTCTCCTCTGACTGCTCCGGACGTAGGTGGTAGTGTTTTGTCGCCGGGTGCTGTTGCTGGTACTGCCGTGGGGGCAATATCAGGACTTTTTCTGGTGTCTTTGCTCGCTGGGTGGAGTCTACGACGTCGTTGGCGGCGATCGAAGAACAGAAGCAGGGAGACTGGTGGGTATCTTAGTCGCTCGAGGCTTGGCCACTAATGATTTCTAACAGCTTTCTTGTTCCTCATAACAGGGAGCTTGGCGCGCTGGTCAATGAATACACGGTCAGCCGCTCACATTCGACCCTTCCTGTTGCTTGCGAGCACCGTTGAGGAGTCAAGGAAGAATGCTGAACAGCCATCATCCTCGGGCGCTGTACTGCAGCCCGTCAGGGATAGTGGCCGTGACCACCAGCCGAACACCCCTCGCCTAGACGACCCGCCACCATCGTATGCATCGTAGAAAGAAGGTTTTGGTCCAGCGAAGTTGAATGAGTTGTTAGTCCTCGCAAATTCCCAGGCTTGTGTATTCTCCTTTGTACCTGCGTAGATCGTACATTCCGTGGGGTACTATTCGATTCAATGGCGTGTTGATTATAAACCCACTGAAGTCAACGTCTTCGGATTTCCAGCAGTCGACCATTACAATTCATAGGAGAGATGTAGTGCCACAATAACTGATTGATGGATAGACAAACGACCATTGACTCGGAGATGTCGGGAACGTCGGTCTCGGTTGTGATCTCGGTTGAGGTCGTGTTTGACGAAGGTCTCTTGTATTCCGTATACTACTTGCTGATATTCAACGAAAAATAACCGAGATCATCCGAATCTTCCTTCTAATCGACAGGCTTGTTTTGAGTGGTACAAAAAGCGACCTTGAGCGAAGTACGACCATATCGCTTACGAATGGAATAAACCTTGTATGAGTTTGCAACTCAGCTCACCTTGGCTTCACGATGCTATCTTAGTCTCTATTGCCCATGACTACCTGAATCATAGATGCACAACGACGTCGATCAGCCAGCGGGCGATAAAGGTGCACGCCTGCTTCACAGACTCCGAGACCTTGTCGTGTCACTTAAAACCCGCAAACTCATCCACAGTACAGAATGGTCACCCGAATCGACGAGCGTGACCCGCGGCTTGTTTTCACGCCAAATGGCGCTTGGTTCCCTGCGGGAAAGAAGCCCGAGTATATGGAAACGACGATGGGAACGACAACTGCGGGTGCACGAATGAGTTTCAATTTCACGGGTATGGGCAACTCCATTCATCCTTATTTGTGCTACCACTGAGTCTCTGCACTTGCGCTCTAGGTACAGGCATCGAGGTGTTTGGGACGCTATCCAATGATATCCGTGCCCCTGCCGTTTTAAACGTGTTTACCATCGATGGTGGAACCTCAGTGCAATGGTCACAACACCCGGTACTTGGTCACCCCACACAGTACAACGCAAAAATGTTCAGTACGCGAGAATTGGAGGACGGGACGCATAACCTCGTTATGGAGGTCATGGTGAAGGACAGTGCAACTTATATAGACTATCTCGAAGTCAACACTTCCGTTGGAAGCTCGATCAGCTTGCCTCCAGGTGTACCCACGTCCCTCTCGCAACAAATTACATCCAGCACTATTAGCTTATCCGCTCCTACTAGCTTACCCGCTCCTACTAGCATAACCGCTCCTACTGTAACCCCCGGTACGGATGCTGGTGGCGGTCTGTCGCGGGGTGCTGTCGCAGCTATATCTATCAGTGGGACTTTGGCTTTCGTATTGGGTCTATTGTTACTTCTATGGTGTCTCCGAAAACGAGGTGGTGGCAAGATGAAAGACTCGAGAGGAACCCATATGTTCCGTGAGTAATATCAGACCTTATTTCCTTGCCCCGAAAGTTGAGCTGATGCCCCTTGACAAGCTCCAACTTCGATTGGGTGGAGTTCAAAGAGTCCCAATTTTTCAATCTTCTCTCGAGAGCGGCAGTCCACGGAAGACCGTTCATACACGTATACCACTGGGGATTACTCGTCCAACTTCTCCAGTTCGACCTCAATGAAACATGATTGGTGAGAAAGGTGATTCAATGGATGGGAATCGTTTGCCAGCCTGATGCACGTTGACCCTTCGATGAAGTTCGGCATGCGTTTGTATTATATAGTATATACTCACACCTGAACAGTATTGCACATGACTACGCATCGATATGAGCCTGATTCAAATTGGCTTTTCATTCGCCACTTGAAACTGACGACTTTATTGAGGCTGACTTCAAATGCAGAAAAAGTACGCTCTTGTGGACCCGCATGCATTAAGAGGGAATCGAACCTCCAGCGGGTCGATTATTTTCGTGATGGTAACGACCCAGGTTACCACTACCCCATTAATGCCTTGTTAGTATCCAAATATTTTGCATGATCGAACTTCACGATGACGTGACGTCAAACCGCGACTGAATCGTGTGCTCTGCGAGGCTTCCTTCCGATATCGTTCATCTCTGGTCTTCTGGCCCCTCGAAAATAAGCCTACCGTAGTGTCTCGTTCACATACCTCAAACCTGCTCAGATCTCTCGCGAATGTTTGCCATGATATGCCGAGCGTACTAGATCCCTTAAAATAAAAACGAGAGACCATCCCGGCATGAACTCACCTCACATTACGCCTCAAGCCCAAGATCACTTCGTTTGTCTTCGTGTAGCATAAACGAGATGTTTTTGCAGCTCTGCTCGATCTTTGTGAGTCTGAACTCATTGGAATGGACAACAGTCATCAAGCGAAGGGTGTTGCGAGTACTACAAATATCGGGAAAAAACTGGGCCTCTCTATTTACATTCCACAGCCAAATACTGCTGGACGATACCCACCCATCCGTCAATTTTACTCCGCCCGAGCCTTGGACCTTAGCTGGAACCGCCCTTTTCGATTTTAATCCAACAATTAATGGAATGGCCTCAGCGGGTGCAGTCATAGAGGTTTCCTTTAGTGGTGAATCTCTCTCGACCCGAGTATCTAGCCTCCTAGTAGTCCACCCAGGCCCAGGCCTCCGGCAAGCCCCATCCCATAGTGACCTGGCACTGTCACTGCTCATCTTATCCACAGAGAGACTCTTTGATAGTCTATCTATTGAGGTATCCGAAGGATACCTCTTGCTCCAAGGGCTCATCAAAGCACTCTATCTTGTTCAAGTATTCGGAGCGCTCGACGTTGATCCCCTTGCACCCGATGCAGTCCAACTTTTAACTGGACGATAAGGACCCCGTACCCCGATTGCGAGACCCCCTTGTACCTCTCCCCCAAAGATTGCTGTTCGAGTCCAGAGAGCTCACGGATGGCATCCACACACTTAAAATAGAAACTACAGTGGAAGGTAGCAATACCTGGATTGGCTACCTGGACATAAGCGGCACGCCCTTTTCAAGCGCGTTTAGCAATCGGCCGTCGATAAAATGATCTACAATATCCTCGACCTCAACATTGGAGACACCCCCCACCCCTTTCTTCGTCAACCCAATCTCCAGCGCTTCCGTCATCAGCATCGCCGATCTCTACCCCCATCAATTATGCCACACCAACTTGGACCACAATGGAGACGGCGACAAAAACTACCACATTGCTACCCAGCTCAGGGAACGCGACTGTCGTCGAGAAATCCCTGCCTCCGTCAGAATCGCGGTGTATCAATCGGAGCCATTGTTGTACTAGCTCAGCTAGTTGCGTTTCTCTGCGTTCTATATCAGTTGTACCCAGTGCGTCAGAAGACTGATATGCACGGCTTCGAGGCATAGATCGTAAGTGTTTGTCTATCGTTTCGGATATCACGGACTATTTCTGAGAGCAAGTCAACCGTCTTTGATGTGAGGGGCGTTTTCCCGCTAAGAGTCCCGGGGTAGCGGTTAAATGTCGAAATTGATTTGTACTTACGAGGGCCGTCATGATAACAATCGCTTGAACGCTCCGGCGGCGTGAATATCCTGGCTGTATGTCGAAGCCTGCTGTCCACTCGCTGAGTGGCAATTCATTGGCGCCCGTTGCCAAGTCACCTACTTGCGTGTTAGCCCGCCACTTGGCAATGTGAGCTGAAGAGCTATAGCCTATGAATAATGTTTGATACTCACACGATCGTGCCTCGCCACTACTCGAGTATGTATAGTGTGGGATCGGCAAAAGGGTTCGTTCTGATGACATCCATCGCTCGTTCATCATCATTCTTAGGGGGGTGCTACAATTGAATACACACTGCCAGTGGTCGCTGAGGAACGCAATGCAGGAGGACGCACAACGTTGTATATCTGCCTTCACTCAGAGCCCTCCATTCCAAGGATGGTTTCGGCTCAGGAGTCCAGTCCACGGCTCGGCGTCGCTCGCTCAACAACGGTGATCCACGCATTTATGCAGCTACGGTTGTTTTGGAAGCCTGTAATATATAATATGCGAGCTTCACAACGTGCTTAGTGGATGGACAGATCATCATGATTATGATATCCATTTGCCACCAAATTCTCGATTTCGATGCATGTGTATCCAACGCCACTGCCGCTCCAAGGCCATTCTTGATAATCATATTCGGGTGGATGGGATATTGGTGGAGGCTGTGCGATATAGAGGGGGACGACATCTTTTGACTGCCGGACTCTACCTCGACGTCAAGCCCTCATTGGCTGTTCAATCATAAATCATACTCCAGGTTGATAGCCCGTGGGAGGCATCATGCCAATCAAATGACTGTAAGTAAGAGTGCCCTGGAGATATATAGCACCCCGAATGGACCGAAAGTACACCCTCCTAAACTTCCCTCTACACGGATGGAAAGGATTGACGACAACGACCCTCGTATCACCTATAACCCTCGTGATGCCTGGACCCAGTCAAATAATGGCCAATATGAGTGGTTGGGGACTTTCCATACACCGACCTCGCTGGAAAGCAATATTACATTTCGGTTCCGAGGTGGGTGCATTGGAATGGGAGGCCCAGCGGAGTTCTTATTTGCATTCATAAATTTAGGTCAATATGTTGGTGTCTTCGGCATAGTAAAGGACCGAGACACACTACCGAACGTATACATAATCGACAATGGCTCCCCCCAGTCATCGACACCATTATCAGCAAGCCCCAGCCCGCCATTCCACAACCAGATTCTATTCACCTCTGATCCGCTTCCTCAAGGAGATCACACACTCGTTATCCAGACCCGCACACTAAATATTAGCATCGACTATCTGGAAGTTTTTTCTTCATCCAATCCGACTACAGGTCAAAACGGACCGGGGAAAAAGACTTCCCTAGCGTCCCAGCCCGGCGTAATCGCGGGAGCAACGGTAGGCGGCATTACTTTACTTGTACTTCTCGCGTTAGGCATTTTCTTGCATCGAAAGAAGATGAACCAAATGCGTGCAGTTAAACCATCAGCCGAGAGCGAGATAAGAGGTGAATCCGCATTTCCTTTCCACTCACACGCCTCCCTGAAGAGTAGTATAGGTTTTGACTCAGTCTCGCAAATTGCACATCCACAACAGCATTCTCGGACCCGTGGTTGGGAAAGGGTGATGGCATGGATGAACCAGACACGTTCGGATCTCCAGAGGTCCATCCCGGGTGAGTGAGCTTCTCGACTCCAATATCACGTAAGAGTTGACGCACCTTGGACGTAGCCTCTCTATCCCAAAGTGGGAGTCGTCGTGGCGGGGGACCGCCGCCTCTCCCTTTGTCGTCTGCGCCCCCGTCTCCTCATCTTGGACCCACGGGAACCGGCAATCATTCTTCTGGAAGAACGGGACGGTCGCATTCTTCTCCTAGCTGGATTCAGCATATATATAGTCGAAATCAATTCTATGACTCGAACGAGAAGGCCAGGCCCAGTCGTACTGAGCCCCGCGAAGAGAGGGAGAGGAGAAAACATCCAAGAAGGGAAAAGCATCCGAAAGCTCATCCTGAAACAAATGAAAAGGTGGAACCCGATATCGAGACAAAGGAAAAGAGGAGGAGGAGGAAACGAGACGAGACTCGGGAGGAGGCAGTGCCACATAAAAAGGACAAAGGGAAGGAGAAGGCCCGTGAAAAAGTGGAAGAGACCCCGAAAGAGCACGAAAAAGCACGGCCGTCAACCTTGACATTAAAGCATGTCGTGAATTGTTGATAACTAGCAATCCGCATCATAGCAATACGGTGAGGTAGATCGGGCAGTGAGAATACCAGTTATCATACTGGGTATGTACCCGCAGCACGCAGCATGTCATTCCTCGCGTAAAATTGCATTCAATAACCAAATTTTGCGAGTTTCTTTCTTGCTGCCTTTCTCGCCCTCGTTGTCATCGAGTTCCCGAGAAATAGATGCGATAGTCGTTCCAAGAAGCGGATGAAATGAGGAGATGGAAGCATTAGGCACTATCTTGTGGATTGGCATTCGCGGTAAAGGGTGTCATGAGTCATGATGATGGTAGAAGGCTGACTGATAGGCGCTTAAGTAATAAGGAGCTTCCTTGCACCGGAACCACGACCACCTCCGACGGCTTCTCTAACGCGTTCACTTCCCTGAGTCCTCCCAGGTCCTCCCCACTGAGTTCAAAGCATCAATTGGAGCTTCAAATTTCGCAAACAAACCAGATTGCTCAAACGGGTGCAAACGAGGCATTCAGGCTTGCTATTGGAGCGACTGTTCGGCGGGAAACTTCCTGTCAGACTTGCGCGTATCCCATCACGTTCAGGAGACTTACTTTACCTATCATTCATCCTGGGGGAGCGCCTAGGGCTATATGTCTTTAGCCACTCCTAAACAACATCAGGATCCCGCGTTCATAAGCTCGTACATAGCCCTTTACCACTTGGCCCAAAAACGCAAGCAAATCGTTGGCCTGTATATGACGAAACTGGATCACATTGAACCGGCAGGGAAGGTATCTATACTTATGTGCCTTTCGGAAGGTCGCTCAGGGTCGCACACGCTCATGTTTGCAGTGATCACAGAACAGTAATACACCAACGAACCCCACGTTACGTCGATGGGCACCGTTCGAACGGTTCGATCCCGGTACATGGTACGTCTGACTCGGCGCGCACTGAAACTAATTCTATCGATGCTGATTACATCTCAGCAGGGACATGGTTGGACCCTATAGTACCCAACGCCGTCTTGCCCGCAGGCTAAGTGTCGCTGACACTCTCGGCAATGGCTCTTATCCAGAATGGGCAGAGTTCTTGATGAAGGAAACCCGAGCGCAACACTTGGGCGAGCTTCTTGATTGCTCATACGCCTCTCGATGGTATAAAAACTTTCCTTCCATGTGCTGAACGCCAACAACTCCCAACGCTCGACAAGGATGATAACTCTGTACGACCTCGGACCACACAATGTTGAGAAGTCGATGGGAATGTCACCCTTCGTTCGTTCGAT